CGAAGACAACTAATGTAGCAGCAGCCTCTGCATCAATAGGCCTCAACATTCACAAAGGAAAAAGCAGGATTGTCGAATACAACACTGAGAACACAAACCCAATCACACTCGATAGAGAAACTCAGGAAGATGTAGAAACATTCACGTACCTAGGAAGCATCATTGGTGGACAAGAAGGATCGGATGCAGATGTAAAGGCAAAGATTGATAAAGCAACGAAAGCATTCCCACAATTGGAGAACATATGGAACTCAAAACAATTTTCAACCAATATCAAAGTGATAATCTTCAATACGAACGTCAAGACAGTTCTGCTGTACGGAGCTGAAACGTGGAGAACTACCACAACTATCATCAGGAAGGTACAAGTATTTATAAACAGTTGTCTACGCAAGATACTCAGCATCCATTGGCTAGATACCATTAGCAACAGCGTTTTATGAAAGAGGGCAAACCAGCTTCCAGCTGAAGAAGAAATTAGGAAAAGATATTGGAAGTGGATCTGACATACATTAAGGAAATCAGCAAACTGCATCAATAGGCAAGCCCTAACTTGAAATCCGGAAGGTTAACGGAAAAGAGGAAGGCCAAAGATCACATTACGTTGGAAGATTGAAGCGGATATGTAATGGATGAATGTTAACCGGAAAGAACCGGAAAGGACTGCCCAGGACAAGCTCGGATGGAGAATACTGGTGTGTGGCCTGTGTTTCTCCACGAGGGATAGCAGGCGTAAGTAAGTAAGCAAGTATGTTAGTGTACTCCATATTATTTGAACCACGTGTTTATTGTCTGATTGAAAGTTCAAAACTGTCACCAGCGAGATTTTCGAAACCACATCCTTCTGAACTAGATATGTTCAACACACATTCAAACTTCCAGAGACAACAACTCTGAAAGTTTCACTTTCCTTTCAGAATTGAACTATAAGTCCCCGAAAAAATAAATTTAGCGACTGTTTACTGATTTCACTATCAGACCTAATTAAATTTAATAATAATAATTTATTCTCAAATAACAGATTGTTACATGAGGCATGCCGGTTTACAGGGAAGATCAAATTTAAATGTTTATCTACATGAAATATTGAGGCAGTTTAGGAGCGAGCAAGCCATATAGTTGGCATTCATCAATGATTTTCGCTCGGTTAATTTTAACATACTTGACCAGATGAATCATGAAATTTTTTCATCAGTTTGTATATCGGATTTTCTTCCATCTACCAGATAACTTAATCAGTAAAGAGTAGTGGGACCTCCTCACTTCCGTTTTACATCGGCAAGAAGTGGCCCTGAAGGAGCCGAAGCTTAATCAGCATATTTTAGTAAATCGTTTTCTGCCAAAGATGGTGAAAGACTGATAAGTAATCGTGATAGTTACGGCTTACCGATGGATTCTGTGGTTATTGGGGAAAAAACTGTATGACTATTATTCCGACATCTGAAACTAAATTTTGATTTAACTGGGATGGTATCCTCCGATTATAAATGTGTCACGAACAAAAGCGTTGTCAAACCCTGACTATCTATGGCAACTATATAAGTTTGGTTGTAGATGGATACAGATGAACGCAAGACTAGTCTTGCGTTTTTAGTTTCAGATGTCGGAATAATAGTCATACAGTTTTTTCCCCAATAACCACAGAATCCATCGGTAAGCCGTAACTATCACGATTACTTATCAGTCTTTCACCATCTTTGGCAGAAAACGATTTACTAAAATATGCTGATTAATCTTCGGCTCCTTCAGGGCCACTTCTTGCCGATGTAAAACGGAAGTGAGGAGGTCCCACCACTCCTTTGATTTCGCTTGTCTATACACGGGAATAACTTTTCCGGACTGTTCTCATAATCCCGAACCAACTATTTTTTATATGGACGTCTGGCCTTACTGACCTACGCTTTGCAAGCATTCCTCGTCTCACAATAAACGGCTATGTGCTATCAAGAGCCTGTGGAGGCATACATTTTCCAATGCTTTCTCTGACGTAAAATAAGTTTTTGATCTGTTTAGTTTGCGAAGGTAGATAATTATTTGGTCAACGTACTACAAAGCATGGCGCGATCAAAATGCAAGTAGGTTAAGCGTACCTTGAAATAGGAACTATATTACTTCAGCCGATGGGGTAGTGTTTACTGACCAGTTTGTTGTCGCAACACACCCCTTGATTTCAGAAATGTTTGCTCCCAACAAATGTGGGTGAGGTATAGCCCGATTGTATATCATGTTACTATTTGGTAACTGGGAAAATATTTAGATAGTCAATATCCTCGGTCGCATGAAGGATCATCAAGTCTAACGAACTAGATACATGGTTTAGACCAAAAGTCGTGGATTCAGATAAGTGCCTTACTAAAGTATGCTCCATTACCGTCATCAGGGGCACATTGTTAAAATAGTCTTCAGATATTAAGTGGTCATCTCTGTCCGACTAATATTATGCTCAACAAAACCTCCCAATATCAGGGATTTCGCATTTTTACACCGTAGCTGAATGTGCACCAAAATGAAGTCATCACTTAGGCAGATTGAACTGGATGGATGACACCGAATATAAATGTGCAGCCTTCAAAGGTGAATTCACAGCTAGTGACTTCACAAATTTCATGGTTATGAGAATCACGAACAAAGGAACCAGTGTTTATACTATTAGCTATGTATATCAGGACCACCTTTCCTGCATCCATTAGTATCACTTATTAGCTGTACCCCGACAATTTTGGAGTGACGTTAGGGACATGGATTACCTAGGTTTCTGTTCCGGCTACCACGTGTGGCCTTAACTGCTACTCCTACCTTATTGAATATATTTCCTTGACTACGAGCATATGGATATAAAACTTCTAAATGGAACGGCTTATCCATATAGGCCTTGGTAACGTTAACTTTCAGGACCTGACTTCTGGAAAACCCATCAGGCGGAATTTTTTTCACTTTGTCGACCCTTTTATATTTCAGCTCTTCCCACCTTCTAAAGACATGTTAGGGCCTACTCAAATGTCAGTGTTGTTGTGGCTTTGAGCACTAGTTGATTAAAGATTTTGTTGTTCTTCTGACTCTAGGACTACATCAGGAGTTTATGTAGTCACTTTTCAACATTTTCTTATGTCCTCTTACCTATTCTTATCAGCTTCTTGGCCTGAACACCTTCACAGTTATGTGTTAAGATTCTACGAATAAATGCCTTAATCCTTTCAAGTCTTTTCAATTCATGCTAGGTTTAAGTCCAATTTTATTTTAGACTTTGGTGGTATATTCTATTACTCAGAATGGGAATATCAGAATTTTCAAACAGGCATTGTTTGTGACTTTTTCGTCTGTCCCTTCTTTTCTTAAGAGGTGTTGCTCATTTTTAGTAACTCTGAACAGCCATGTTGGGAATATTCAGAGCGGTGACGAGTTATCAGGGTCTTCAGGTACTGCTTTATAATCCCCATCACCAATATCCAATGGTAATTCACATTTTGTTTGTTTCAAAAGAGACTTTTTTTCATGTTTACCAGTCGGATAATTGGTTTGCCCCCTATGAGCACTTTCCACAGTGACATATTTCAAGCTGTCAGTACTCATATTACTAGTGTTGCAACCACCAAATTTACTACTGGACAATGCCTATTGCCCCCGGATCAATAATATCTTACTCGAACATCAAAATACGCAAAGCCAAATGGAATTAGGTTTCAGGCTTTTTTTGTACGAAGTGGGATTTAAATGAGTACACATCTTGTGGGACCGCTTTCGGCACCTATTACATTGTATTTCTTGCTCCGTAGGAAAGAAGCGGTTTCGCTGTCAGCATTTATAAGTACGGCTGACCATTGTAAACAGACTTAAGGGGGCAATCTGTTAAAATGCACAAGCTGATCACTAGAGTAAGAAAGGCCTACAAAACTGATTTGAAAAAATTCTAAACCCTAGCCTCTATAATTTCAACTATGGTGGAAAAAATGTGCTTTTGATACTTTTGACCCTGCTGATCCAATCGGTGTCGGGTAGAGACAGCTACTTACCTCAGACAATGGATGAATGTTTGCGCAACATAATGGATCGTTAGAAATTAGACGTTAACACTGTTGGATACCAGCTCAGTGGTTTAGAGGCTAAGCGCCCCTGAGCGAGAACGAATGTCCTGGGTTTGAGTAACGTACGCGAGATTGTGGATTTTCACGGCTGAGGAGTCCCACACTACGACGGATCAACCGTTCAGTTCTTTCAAGTTTTCAGTGATAGTCTAGCTTAGACTGACTGATGAATTCGACCATTAAAAGTGTGAAATCAGCACACTATTTTAGCACGCGAGTCACGATTTGTAGTCTTAATCCTTGAATCTTCTCAGTTTCATGCTTGTGTCATTCATGATTGTTACCTGTTTCCTTCACCATCAAAAGTTCTTATGTGTTTATCATGTCGTCGTCTCTTTTGTCCTTTTCTTTTCCAGATATTCACACATTACCTCAGTACCTTAAAACTAGATGCAAACCTACCAATGTCTGGATGTTACATAAAAATGTTAGTGTACACGTCAAAGTTTTTGCAAAGCTGTTCATTTTAAGGAATTACAATGTCAATACAGACCAGTAATTTGTCCAACCCTAAACTACTGTTGTTTCGTCGTTGATGAACGCGCCATTAGACAGTTAGATAGGTTACTGTTCACTTTATCCAAAGTCTTTTTGATAAAACGGTAGTTTGTGGAAGCAAACAGGTTATCTGAACAAATACAAGCATGAAAAAGTTTTTAAAGGACAGTTTATAAATTTTGATACGATTGCGAAATTATAACGGTCTCAGAAAATACTGTTTCATTATCTATAGGGGTAATTTCTTGGACCAGTTATCTCATTACCTCCCATGAAAGACAAGCGAAATCTTTCGATATTTTTCTAGTTGCCTTGGCTTACTGTGTATTGAACAGTGAAAGGTAGACTCTCGCGACCTTGGGCGAACGCATAGTTATTTCGCGATCATTCCATTGCAGCCGGGTCCTAACTCTTGTCAAAATGGCGAAGTGGGGAGAAGGTGATCCCAGGTGGATTGTTGAAGAAAGAGCAGATGCAAAAAACGTTAATAACTGGCACTGGTCAGATAAAGATGCAACCGGCTGGTCTATAAATAAGATAAAAGAGCTACTGAAAGGTTCTAAGATTGAAAATGATTTATGTAAGTAGTGTCCATCAACTTATCGCTTTTTATGTCCTAAAGATGCTTGTAAAGTCACTGAAATTTCTAAACTTGATGGGGAGGCTAATGTTTATGTCCGAAAGGGAAAGTTAATGTGCTTTTACGAGTGGGAGATTGTGATTGACTGGGAGGGTAAGTTCTATGTATTGTAGTTGGTTCTTCTACATTTGACTTTTATATTTAAAGCATAACTCATGATTCAGTCTCGATACTTTATAGCTCGACCCATCTTATCATCGGCACCAATTATTATTATTAGTTAGCTCATTGTCGCGGTTGTTATCCATTATTGGTAGCACCGAACCTCCGATGTCTTATGACTAAAAATTACACTATATACTGCGATTAGTGAAATATTTGAGAGATCTCAACATCGCACGAAAGATAGAGCTACATGGATTGACAGAAAATCTCGTTTTAGCTGTCATTTTCCTAGAATCACTTTCGATTCCCAGCCGTATGGTTTCTATTTTAGGGAAGGGATAGAATCCACTTTTTTGATTAGGGTCAGTATGACAAATTTGGTTTAAAATTGGATTGACCTAATCGACCACAGTGTCAAGGATTAATTCACTTTCTACTACCATCAAATATATTACATCACTCAAGTACACGCGTTTACTTATCTGTTCCTGCCACTTGTTAAATTTTTAATCTTTGTTGGCTCCGTCGTACTGTTATACTTTCGGTTTAGTGTTTAGAGCGCTTGGTGAATGTGCTATAATATAGTCTAACATACAAGAGTTCATTGTTTTGATATTTTGCGTTTTCAGTAAGTTAACTCTAATGATTCCCTTCTACGATTTTTAATACTGGTGAACATGCGACACTTCATTCACCTTAATACTAAATCGAATGCTTAACAGATATAGTCAGCAAACGGCTTTCATGCCTAACCTTTCCTCTCAATGTTTTATCTGTGGTTCACTGTATTAATTGCCGTTATTTCTTACAGAGTGAGAAACAATTAGTTTTGTGCGTTTGAATACAATTAAGAGTCATGTTTATGTCTCTGAAAAGATTCGAAAACTACATCCCGGTGCTTTCACCTAACGTCTTAACTTTTCAATCCGTTAGCATCTGTACTCAGCCAGTCAGTCAGTAAACTACAACGTAGGACCAGGCATGTATATGCATCGGTCCAAGTTGCTACACCTCATTAGCACAAGATGAACACCGAATTCATAGGAGTAGTTACTTCAATGGTAGCAATATATAAAAGGAAAATTGCATATAAGGATATGATACAGAAGGAGAATTATTTGGTAGAAATTATAGAGTAATTTAGATCTTATAGTTTGAGGGAAGACAGAGAGTGTACATACCCACGTTAGTGTGATCGATTCTGAGCCGGTCAGTCAGCTACAACGTAAGATCAGGCACATTTATACATCGGTCCTGGTTGCCATACCTCGTTAGCACAACAAGATGAACACCGAGTTCATAGTAGTTAATTTAGGGGTGGTAATATATAAGAGAAAGTTTGTATATAAGGATATAGTATAGGAAGAAAGTTATAAAGCAGTTTTAATCTCAAGGTTTAAGGGAAGATAAAGAGTGTATACACCTACTCCATTGTGATCGATTCTGAGCCATGTCACCTAGAGTCTCCAACCATTGGTTACGATGATCACGCGTACCCTAACCAAGTAGTCTGAATCTACCAACATGGCTCAGACCACTACCGTAATTCCCCAATCCTAAATAATAATAATAATAATAATAGTCCTGCATACTAATTTATAACCCTCTCAGTCGTAGTGAGTTATCTTTAGGTCACCTAAGCCTTGCTCAAAGGCCATCCGTAAATTATAATTAATAGCTTAGACACGATTCTATCCCCGTCATTAGAATGGTTTAGTCGGATTTCAAATCCTAAGAGTTTTTGAATTTTTACACTGATCATAGAGTCTAAAACATATCGGACACCACTTTTTTGATTTGCATTGTTAGATCTAGTATACTTTCTCCATTCCTTCAATGACGTCATATTTTTTGTCACCATTCCAACAGGAATAGTGAAAAGTTCGGAAGACAAGGCGAAAATTGTAGGAAAAGTGGAAGTTATAAGTCTGATTGATGAATACGGTGTAAATAAATGTGATACTAATACGAGCTGGAATTCTTCCAGCACTGATGGTGATTTAGTTGGGAGTTTTATGAAGTCAAATGGTGTTGATTTTATTAAATCCAAATTGGATAAATACATCACATTACTTAAAGAAGGTTAGTATGTGATTAATTTTTTTCGAGTTTATTGTAACAGATTATGCTCAAGGTCTTATCCTCCCATCAAAGAATGGTGCCAACGTGAATCCTGCTGGTACAACACGGTCTGGCGCGGCTCTAGATAAAACAACCAACAAAGCTTTCCATACCGCCGATGGAATCAAAGAACCTAAAGACCTGTCAAACAGAGATCTTTCAATCACAGATGAGTTCTTCTGTACTCCGGATGACCTTTACAGAGTTCTCACTACTAAAGAGGTACCTAGCTCCATATGTAATTACAGTAAGAATCACAAAGGTTGTAGGGTTGTTCCTATTAAGTATGTGGGAAAAATCATGTCTCATTTTTCTGTAAATTCTAAAATTGCGAATTTGTTTTTAAAGCAAATAGTCTTGTTAACAGGACATTTTGCGCTGCATGATTAGTTCAAGTTCAAATCGTAATTCCCTGATTGGTCCAATCTCCATCATTAGCGCTTGTAGCAAAACCGGAAAGATACTAAAAGCTTATGTGTAAATTGCGCTTATACAGCTGTTTCTTGCGATTTATCATGTTGCTACCCCAATGTTCTTTCTGAGAGTGAGAAGTGTAGTGGTCAATGAATATCGGACACGGGGTAACATAACGAGTTTTGAATTCACTGATAATGAAGATCTAAATTTAGCCATATGATCTGAATCTGTAAAGTAGTTTTCATACTTGTCATTCCGGAGACCTCCATATTTTCACGTATTTGAAAATTTGCAGTTTACGATGTATAAGTAAGTAATTTATTAGTCCAGGCTGAAGCCCCGACCGTTGCTGCTACCTTGACGTGGTGATCGGGGTTGACTATAGTGATGAAGCAGTTAAACTATACTGGCTGGAACAATCGTTACTCAAGGTCCTACCATGCCAAACAGGTCGGTTTAAGAGCGGTAAGACTAAAAGCGGCAGGGGATAACGATGATCGAACACAGAGAGTCGTCTAACATCCTCAACTCGGAGAGGCCAGGTTTCACAAGTATAGAGCAAAACTGCTCTCACCGACGCGTTGTAGATCCGACCTTTTACAGCCAGACTAACATCACGAAGGTGCGAAAGATGGCCCAGATTGGCATAAGCCTCTCTGGCTTTCATCATACGTGCATCGATCTCACTCACGCCACCACCACCACTTATGTAGCTACCTAGATACACGAACTTCTCAACTACTTCAATCTGCTCGCCAGTCAGGGTGAGTACAGGATTAGAATCCTGCTAGTCTTGTAGGAGTACTTTGCACTTAGAGGGTGCAAAGCACATGCCGTACCTGCGGACACTGATTGCCAACTGATTAAGTGCTGATTGCATGCCTTGTGCATTATCGCACAGTAAGACAATATCATCCGCATGCTCAAGGTCGATAAGTCGTTCTCCAGGCAGCAGATCCACACCGCCATTTCTTACATCCATCAAAGCTGTTTCCAGAATGTCGTCGATGGCAAAGTTGAAGAGGAATGGTGAGTTTGGGCAACCCTGTCTAACCCCACTGCTTGAATGGAGAAAGGTGGTTGTATACCATCATTCTGCCTGAGGTGCTCGTATACAGGGCCTTCAAGATGTTAATAAGCTTCTCAGGCACACTTCTTCAATAGACAATCCCAAAGAACAGTTCTGTCCAACGAATCGAAGGCAGCCCTGATATCAAGAAACACTACGATTGTTGGCCTGTGGTAAGTATGACGGTGTTCTAACATTTGGCGTAGAGTGAAGATATGATCAACACATCCTCGATCAGAACAAAAACCAGCCGGCTCCTCGCTAGTCAATCGTTCTCGGGTCTTAAACAACCTACAAAGAGTGACAGAAGTCAATAGTTTGGACGCAATCGGAAGTAGACTTATCCCCCGATAGTTGTTACAGGGACAACGTGAACCCTTTTTAAAGATAGGGACGACTATCGGCTCATTTCATGCTGTTGGAACACCTACTAGCTACCAAACCTTTGTAGACAACACAGTCAATTCCTTAGTCAGAAAGTCACCACCATCTTTAAAAAGTGCCGGAGATAAGTCATCTGGGCCCGGTGATTTGCAGCGTTTCAAGAGTTGGAGTTCCTTGTGGACTTCCGCCTCGTTTGGTGGATCAGTCGTCACCGGCCATGGGGGGCAGGACAATCTGGTTGATGTTGCCGGAGCAGCAGGCCAGTTGAACTGTTCCATCGTCCAAGACGTCGAGAGATGTTAGTGATTGACAACCCGTCATCCTCGTAGATTATTTCACTCACACCAGACTTCTTGCTGCCAGTGGCTCGGGTGAGTTGGAAGAGCTTCCGGCAGTTACCAGATGCAGCTGCTGCTTCCATCTCATTATCACGCTCCGACCACCAGTCTTCTCGGTCCTTACGCAAGCTTTGCCCAATTTCATAACGTAACAGCCTTCGTTTGTGGTCATACTGACCGTCCTCGAACTGATGTCTCTTGGGCGCTGCGGTCACTCATGTCACTAAGACCACTTCTTACCCAATTTCCTTATCAGAAACTCGGAAGGATAGGGACACACGTCGTTGCCTTTTCGTCGTTTCTGCCTACGCTCCCACTGACTGCAGCCATGATGAGGTGAAAGATGACTTTTACAGAAAGCTCTCTGAGCTTCTTCAGAAAGCTAAGCGCTCAGACATAGTAGTCGTAGCGGGTGACTTTAATGCCCAGGTAGGCAGCTTAAATCAAACAGAAAGACATCTAGGTGGGTGTTTTAGTATTCCGGCTCAACGAACCGATAATAGTGATCGTCTGTTGCAACTGTGCTCAGACAATCGTTGTTTTTTAGCAAGCACTAATTTTAAGCATAAGGAGGGATATCGTCTAACATGGAGACCGCCTACACCGGACCAACGATGGACTCAAAATTGCCATCAGTCATCGTTGGAGAGGCTCGATAGAAGACTGTCGCTCGTTCTGGGATACATGATTGGACTCTGTTCATGCTCTAGTACGCGCATGCGTTTCTTGCACCGCTCTGGATGCAGGGAAACTACATTAAGAAAACCCATTAGAGACGAACACAATAATGGGGAGGCCAAAGATAAATCCTGGGAGCAACTGAAGTCACACTTGGGCAATCTCAAAAACGAGGCTGACTCAGATGTTGCTTGGAAAGATACACAAACAACTGTGGGAACAATGGTGACATCTATTAGTGATTTAAACCAAAAGGTTACAAAAAACCAATGGATTTCTACTAAGTCTATTTCACTGATAGATTCTCGTAAACTCATGCCATCAGGCTCTGAACACGACGAAGAGCGTAAACAAATTAGATCTAGGTTGACTAAGAGCCTAAGAGACGGTCGTGAGCAGTGATGGGCAACGAAAGCAAAAGAGATGGAAAAGGCAGTGGCTGTAGGCAACACCAGGCAACTATTCAGTCTAATAAAAGAAACCGGAATTAAGAAGTCAAGTGTAAGTAAGACAATCTCGGAAAAAGACGGAACCCTTATCTGCTCTCAACCCAAACGTTTAGAACGATGGGCGGAACACTTTAAGGAGCAGTTTAGCTGGCCTTCAGCTACTGCACAACTACCCACTATTCCCAGAAAACCTGAATGGAACATTGAAGTAGGCCCCCGACCCTACTTGAAGTTCAAAAGGCTATAAGTAATCTGAAACGAGGAAGAGCAGCTGGTCCAGATGGATAGGCTCTAGAGGTCTTTAAATATGGTGGTCCAATTTTAGCGATTAGGTTGACTAATATTCTGGCTAAAATCTGGGAGACGGATGTAATCCCTTCCGACTGGTCACAATCACTGATTGTCCCAATATATAAAAAGGGGTCAAAATCATCCTGCGATAACCATAGAGGGATTAGTCTGACTAACATAGTATCTAAAATACTAGCCTTAATAATTATCAGGCGCCTAACTAAGACTCGTGAACTGCGAACACGAGAAAATCAGACTGGCTTCAGACCTGGTCGAGGCTGAATCGACCATATATTCACTATTCGTCTAGTTTTAAAACACACATGTTTATCGGCGTCTGACAATAGTAGTTTTTCTTGACTTAAAAGCTGCATATGACTCTGTAGACCGAGATGACCGGTGGCAGTGTGTCATTGAAAGGTGTACCCCAGAAGTACATAAACCTTGTGAAGGCTCTTTACTTGAACACTACCAGTCGAGAGAGAGCTTATGACGAACTGTCATCTGATTTTACAACCTCAAGTGGTGTCCGGCAAGGTTGTCTACTACCCCAAATTTGTTTAACCTCATTATAGAACTGCTGAAAATAAAGCTCTCGTTGACTGAATTTTCAGGAATTGATCTCCTATCAGGAGGTCCACTTATCGACTTAGAATACGCAGATGACATAGTCCTGTTTGGTGAAGACGCTGACAAAATGCAAAGTCTTGTTAGAACTGAGTAATAATGCCAAGATGTTTGGGATGCGTTTCTCCCCATCCAAATGTAAATTGTTACTCCAGGACTGGCCTGCGTCAACACATGAACTAAGGATAGGGAGTGAAGTAGTCGAACGCGTGGACAACTTCACTTATCTTGGAAGTCTGATCAGCCCTAATGGGTTGGTGTCTGACGAAATCTCAGCACGGATTCAGAAAGCTCGTTTGGCTTTTGCCAACTTACGTCACCTATGGCGAAGACAAGATATCCGTATATCAATTAAGGGACGAGTATACTGCGCAGCAGTTCGTTCTGTTCTATTTTACGGCTCTGAAACATGACCATTAAGAGCAGGAGATACTCGTAAGTTACTAGTATTTGACCACAGATGTCTTAGAAATATTGCCAGCATCTGCTGGGATCATCCGGTAAGTGATAGTGAGGTTAGACGCAGGGTATTAGGGAATGATGGTAAATCAGTTGATGAGGTGATGAATTTTCATCGACTGAGATGGTTGGGCCATGTGTTAAGTATGCCTGAACATCGATTACCACGACGCGCTATGCTGACTAGTGTTGGGGATGGTTGGAAGAGAGTTAGGGGCGGCCAAACCAAAACATGGCATCAGTGGTTGAAGTCACTAACTTCTAGTCTGAGCCATGTTGGAAGATGCAGACTACCTGGTTGGGGTCCGCGTGACTATCGTAACCAATGGTTGGAGACTCTAGGTGACATGGCTCATAATCGATCACACTAATGTGGGTATGTACACTCTCTGTCTTCCCTCAAACTATAAGATCTAAATTACTCTATACTTTCTACCAAATAATTCTTTCTTTCTGTATCATATCCTTATATGCAATCTTTCTTTTATATATTACTACCATTGAAGTAACTACTTCTATGAATTCGGTGTTCATCTTGTGCTCCTCAGGCAGAATGATGGTATACAACCACCTTTCTCCATTCAAGCAGTGGGGTTAGACAGGGTTGCCCAAACTCACCATTCCTCTTCAACTTTGCCATCGACGACATTCTGGAAACAGCTTTGATGGATGTAAGAAATGGCGGTGTGGATCTGCTGCCTGGAGAACGACTTATCGACCTTGAGCATGCGGATGATATTGTCTTACTGTGCGATAATGCACAAGGCATGCAATCAGCACTTAATCAGTTGGCAATCAGTGTCCGCAGGTACGGCATGTGCTTTGCACCCTCTAAGTGCAAAGTACTCCTACAAGACTAGCAGGATTCTAATCCTGTACTCACCCTGGATGGTGAGCAGATCGAAGTAGTTGAGAAGTTCGTATATCTAGGTAGCTATATAAGTGCTGGTGGTGGCGTGAGTGCTGAGATTGATGCACGTCTAATGAAACTTAGAGCGGCTTATGCCAATCTGGGCCATCTTTGGCGCCTTCGTGATGTTAGTCTGGCTGTAAAAGGTCGGATCTACAACGCGTCGGTGAGAGCAGTTTTGCTCTATGCTTGTGAAACCTGGCTTCTCCGAGTTGAGGATGTTAGACGACTCTCTGTGTTCGATCATCATTGTCTCCGAAGGATTGCTGACATACAGTGGCAACACCGTGTTAGTAATGCAGAGGTTCGGCATCGTGTTTTCGGGCGCAGAGACGATAATTCAATTGGTGTCACCATCTTGAAACACCAACTTCGGTGGCTTGGACATGTTTTACGAATGTCGTCCTAGAGACTTCCACGTCGTGCATTATTTACCGACCCTGGGACTGGTTGGAGAAAGCGGAGAGGAGGTCAGTGTATGACATGGTGTTGTGGCATGAAAGAGAGCTGCAAAGGGTTGGTCCTTCACGACTCCGTGGTTGGGGTCCGAGAGATGGTGCAACACAGTGACTATAGACGTTATCAGATATGGCTCAGAATAGAAGCCAGTGGCGATCCTGCTGCAACCTTCTTTTACTTTCTACATAAAGAATGGTTCTAACTTTCCTAACTGAAAGAGTCTTCTGGTTGTACATTTCAGTTCGCCTTATCTTTTCATCCCTTCTCTTCCTACTTTCATTATTTTGTGTGGCGCATATGTACCTGGTGCCCTTTTGTACCAATATATATGTGTTTAAATAAATAAATAAAAAATCATCTTGTGCTAATGAGGTGTAGCAACTTGGACCAATGCATATACATGCCTGGTCCTACGTTGTAGTTTACTGACTTACTGGATTGATCAGACTGAACGCTAGTTTTTCTTTCACGTCATTCTGGGAATTTGTTAACCACAACTTTAAATTTAGATAGTGACTCCCGCTAACTATTTGAATATGTTGGCGCGACTCGTTATTTGTAACCAGTTAATTCATGCACCAGGACTCTCATCTGTATTCAATTTCTTAAGTTTAAATATGCATCATTGACTGGAAGAACATCGAACTAGACTGTTTTCGCATATGTGAAACCATAGTAGTGTAATTACTGACACAAAACCTGTTTTATTTCAAAAACATGAAACAAAAAGCCAATTTTCCAACAGATCTCCCTGAAGATGTATATTTAATAGACGAGGTAATTTACGTTAGCTCTAGTTAGTAGATACGAGTATGTTGATCTAAATTATGCTCTTTCATAATATTCCATAGATTTATGTGATATTAAGTCATACAAAATAATCTTGAATTGTTATAGTAGTTTTTGTGAAATATTTTAAGATAAAATTTGATTTGATCATAATTTTGAATTAGTTGTACCCTGCTTGCGAAAATAACAAAATTTGGTTCCAGAGTTCAGAGTTATACTAGTACATCCTGATGTATGTGCCATGTTCTACATTATGTTTGACTGACTCACTGACCATTGTATGATCATATCACGATGTAAATTGTTTATAAATTGATACTCTTGCTGCTATACCATATCACACACATTTCACCAGTTAAATTCTGTTTGTATTGGGTTACCTTTAATAAATTACTAAATAAATATCAAATTGTTTAAGTACAAATGCGCTCTTTCTAATTTTAGTTAGTTAAAGCTTTTACACGATCTGAGGCCACTGTGGACCCAGTTGTTGGTGGAGCATATTCAGTCTTCAGTGGAAACATTACAGGAATCTTCGATTTGCTAGTAAGTCCCGTTGATCTTTGTCCATGCAAAGCAATTTTTCGAAAAGCGCTAGTTTAATTCAAAAGTAAACTTATCTATATGTAGTCGCCAATTTTCACTTTCTTTTGGGTATATCTGAACAAAAGAATAAGTTCATTTGATATGAAAAAGTTATAGGTAATTGAATGAATGTAGTTTTCTTTTCAAGAGTACGATCGACTGAAGCTGCACAGTTTTACTTAAAATTATTTTAGAAGTATGGTGGCTGACTAAAATAGGACTTATTGAGAGGTATAAATTGCATCCAGTATTTGGTAAAATATAACGAGGACCAGGAAGACGTTTAATAATGACCGATACCGTTATGAGAAATTTATGGAACTTAACAGTAATCGTAATTAAAAACGTAATAATTATTGTCCATCTGGTTGTGATGACCACTTTATTTGCTATTGTAAAGGCTTTATCCACTTCACATAGCCTACTGTTTCGTAGTGCATTTCAGTTAAATTCTTTGGTTCTTAATGTTATTAAATCATTAACTCAATCTGTGAATGATTTGCCAACTATGTCTATGTAACTCTATATTGCCTTTCAAATGCAGTAGATCCCAGTTGTTCAGCCTTTCGGCCACATTGTCTTCTATCGTGTATTTTACCGGTCTGGTAAGCGGTTTAAATGTTTGTTCTCACAACGACACCTACCACTTACACAAACCATGCAATCTTAATCATTTGGGAAACAGTGTCCGTAGATACGGCATGTGCTTCCCACCTTCTAAGTGTTAAGCACTTTTACAAGACTGTTAGGACACTGTGCCTGATCTCATTTTCAGTAGTCAGTTCGAAGTAGTCGGGGAGTTCGTTTATCTGGGTAGCCGTGTAAGTGTGCATAGTGGTGTGAGTGATGAAATGAATTCACGTATAGTAAAAACCATAGTGGCTTATGCCAATCTGGGCCATCTTTGGAACCTTCGTGACGTTAGTCTGGCTGTAAAAGGTCGGATCTACAAATCGTCGGTGAGAGCAGTTTTGCTCTATGCCTTGTGAAGACTGGCCTCTAAGTTGAGGATGTTAGATGACTCTCCATGTTTGGTCATCGTCGTCTCCAAAGGATTACTGACATCCAGTGGCGACACCATGTTAGTAATGCAGAGGTTCGTCAACGTGTGTTCGGGCACAGTGACGACAATTCTATTGGTGTCGCCATCTTAAAACATCGGTCTCGGTGGCTTGGACATGTCCTGCGGATATCATCCCAGCGAGTTCCACACCGTGTGTTATTTGACGGCGCTGGGACTGGTTGGAAAAGGTGGAGAGGTGGTCATACACGACATGATGTCGTGGTATGTAAGTGGGGTTCGTCAGGACTGTCCAATCTCCCCATTCTTGTTTAACCTTGTCGTTGACATGCTTTTAGAGATAACACTTTCATCATCTCAATCTCCAGGAGTTGAACTTTTACCGGGAGGCTCACTTGTTGACTTAGAATACGCCGACGACATAGTTTTATTTGGTGAAGTCGCTGACAAAATGCAGAGTCTTCTGACCACTATAGCAACTATGCAGGCATGTTCGGGATGCGATTCTCTCCCTCGAAGTGCAAAATGTTACTTCAGGATTGGGTTGCATCGACACGTGAACTAATGATAGGGAGTCAAGTAGTTGAGCGTGTTGACCGCTTCACTTATCTTGGGAGTCTCATCAGCCCTTGTGGTCTGGTGTGTGACGAAATCTCAGCACGGATACAGAAGGCTCGTCTAGCTTTCACCAACTTGTGTCATTTATGGCGTAGGCGAGATATCCGTCTAGCAACCAAAGGACCGGTTTACTGTGCAGCAGTTCGTTCCGTTCTACTTTATGGCAATGAAACATGGCCGATAAGAGTAGAGGATATTCATAAGCTACTAGTGTTCGATCATAAGTGTCTTCGACACATTGCTCGTATATCCTGGGATCACCAAGTAAGTAATGCAGTTGTGAGGAAACGGGTACTGGGTGAGGATGGCAAGTAGTGAAACTCCATCAGTTGAGATGGCTGGGACACGTGTTACGTAGGTTCAACCACTGACTGCCCCAACGTGCAATGTTTCATGGTGTAGGAGTAGATTGGAAGAAAGCTAGGGGCGGCCAGACCAAAACATGGCACAAATCCATGAAGTCGCTGACTAGTGGACTGGGCCGTGTTGGTAGGTGTAGACTACCTGGTTGGGATTCGCGAGATGGTAGCAACCGATGGTTAGAGACCTTGAATGACATGGCTCAAAATCGTTTGCAATGGCGAAGGTGCATCCACTCTATGTGTTCTGCCAAATTCTGATCTGAATTCTTGATGTACAGGACTGTTAGTCTCTCACGACTCCCGGGTCTGGGCCCTCAAGTTGTCAGACATGGCTGAGAATAGAAGTCAGTGTCGGTCTTGTTGTAATTTTCCCTACGTAAATAAGAGTTCTTTAAATGGAAATATTCTTATAGATTGTATATTTCTTAACTGAACTGCTACTCATTACAAATTTTTCACTTTTATACACAATTTCTGCCCATTGCTGTTTTTGTGTTGTACCCACTTTCCATTCTCTATTTCTTCACGACTTCATTTTTATTGTGTTACACATATCCATTCTAATGACCCTTCGCACTGTTTTTGTTTACGTAAATTAGTTAGTTAGGAAAGGCCGGCAGATGGCCGTTGTTCCTGGTGATTTCATAAACAATAAGTATAAGGCTAAAAGCGACAGCAAATCAGTGACATTTTTCACAAAACCTATGGAAACCGAACGGTTTTGTTATCAAGCCTATGCATAGTGGGTTTTTACAGTGAAGTTAAGCGCCAATAGCCCTCATATTTCTAGTTGGTGTTATTTTTTGTTTCGTTGGTGTCATGGTTATAATTCCTGTAAAACTTATGGTACCATTTTTCACGTGTCCCAAACTTGTTTATGCACCTTAACTGTCCAGGATAATTTCCGTTAACAAAATTATGATTACTGCCAGTTTGTCTGTTTACTGATGAATATTGTTTGTCTCAGCGGTTTAATAGTTCAACTTTGATCCTTTAATTTTGAACTAATGTGAACCATTTTGTTGTCTACGAAATGTTCAGGATCCTGGTAAAAGTATTCAAATGAGATGGCGTAAACGTGATTGGCCCGAGAACCACTACAGCTCATTGACTTTGAAAATAAATGCTTTTGAAGGTGGAACACGCCTTATTTTAACACAAAAAGATGTTCCTGCTTATGACTTGGAAAATACCCGCGACGGATGGCTCACTATCTTCCTTTCTGCACTGAAACAAACTTACGGATATGGTGGACGTATGTTTTAAGAGGTTTACCGAAATGGCTTCAAGAATGGAATGTCTACTATGTATTAATCATAACATCTACTTTTACGTTGTAAGCGGTTAACAGCCTAATATAATATTTTGTGATATTTTCCCTTTTATTTTTGTTAAGGAATCAAACAAATTGTTGTTTGTCAAGCTGAATTACAGAACACGTTATGAGCGTACATTTCTCAAGCTAGTTGTCCATTCAAGCCAAACTTACAGACCATTCATCTAAAAAGGGGAAGTAACAGATTATCAGCAAAAGACATCCAAGATTTCACAGTAACCGTACCATGTAGGATGATGTCCTATCGAGAGACTATTGGTATAAAAAATACAATAGGCTTAGAATATTTCTTCCATTTATACATTCCAAAATACCCCTCCAAATTCGTCTCAACGTTGGATCCAACTAGATCACATCGCTATCCACCACCGATGGAGGGGTTCGATAGAAGACTGTCGCTCATTCTGGAGCATATGTTTAGACTCAGATCATGCTCTAGTGCGAGCGCGTATCTGTCTGCGTCTTACTGGTCGTAGGAAAGACACTGCAAGGAAACCTCTTAGGGTTTTACTTAACGATAAGCAAGCTAAGAATATATTTTCAAGTAATGCAGTTGTGGCCCGACCGTTGCTACTACCTTGACGTGGTGATCGGGCTTGCCTATCGCGATGAACCAATCGAGCTATGCTGGCTGGAACAATCGTTACTCAAGGTTCCACCATATCAGAGAGGTCGGTTGAAGAGCGGTAAGGTTAAAAGCCGCAAAGCCAATGTCCAAAGGCGAAGTCGTACTCCTGACTGTACAGAGGTGTGACGGCAGTAAGGTGTTTCCTTTAGACAATCAGCGATGCTGCCCTGAAGGAGGGGTGAGGTTAGAAAAGATCGACCCTAGAAATGCACAACTCGCCTTATCCCACGGATTTCCGTCTCCGACGGTAAGGTCTTTTACAGAACGGAGCTAACACATCAATAATTCTCCACAAAAAGGCTGTGCGTGACCGGCCTCAAGTAGTTGTCCCTTGGGCACTGCGGCCACGCTCCCAGGTCGTTAAGACCAACACTAATCCGACTTTTATTTCAGGTCCCTCAAGAAATACCCTTCCACGGTGTGGGCAGCCGGGAAGTGATATTAGCCCTCATACCCGTAACAGCACACGAGACCAAGTAAGTCACTTTCAAATCCTTCCTATACCTCCTAATAACTCTCTTATCTCCACGACTCACCCTTCCCACGTCCTTTTATCACCTCGCACCGCTAGGGCAAACGATTCAAGTACACGGAACGTTATTCCTGCTCTTCTGAAACCACGCTCTAAATTACGTGTAGGAACTTTTAATGTCCGAACATTGTGCCAAATAGGACAACAGGCTTCCTTAGCTAGGACTTTAGAGTCTTACACCATCGATGTGTGCTGCGCCTCCGAAACGCGCATACAAGATCTGAGTAGCGTCATTTATTTGACCTCACTATGTCATAATAAAGAACCATCTCGATACACGCTTCGTGTATCTGGAAGCCCTGATGCTGCTTCCCGTGGTCTCGCTGGAGTAGGTATAGCATTAAGTCCTAGGGCAGAACTAGCTCTTTTAGACTGGATCCCAGTAGACAGTCGTCTATGCGCTGTACGACTAAACGGATCAATAAGAACTCGGAAAGATAGGGAAACTCGCCGTTGCCTCTTCGTCGTCTCTGCCTACTCTCCCACTGACTGCAGCTCAGACGATATAAAAGATGAGTTCTACAGGAAACTTTCTGACCTCCGAAAAGCTAGGCGTTCTGATGTAGTAATAGTGGCAGGTGACTTTAATGCTCAAGTAGGTAAACTAAGTGAAAGACATCTGAGTGGATCTTATGGTGGCATGGGTAAAAGAACAGATAATGGCGACCGTCTGTTGCAGCTGTGCTCAGATAACCGCCTATTTCTTGCAAATACTAACTTTAAGCATAAGGAAAAACATCTTTTGACATGGCGACCCTCGAATTCGCCCCAATGTTGGACCCAATTAGATCACATCGCTATCAGCCACCGATGGAGGGGCTCGATAGAAGACTGTCGCTCATTCTGAAGCATATGTTTAGACTCAAATCATGCTCTAGTATCTGTCTGCGTCTTACTGGTCGTAGGAAAGACACTGCAGGGAAGCCTCTAAGGGTTCTACCTAATGATAGACAAGCTAAGAATATATTTCAGGAAGAACTAGGATAACAGTTAGACAGACATTTAAGTTGTGCTCACTACGAGGCAGCGTGGAATGACATCCGAAAAGCTGTGGAAACAGCAGTGACATCCGCTAGTGAGGTAATCCACAAGGTCAGGGAGAAACAATGGATCTCAGCAGCATCTACCGCACTGACAGATGCTTGAAAACTCAGAACATAACGAAGAGCGGAGTCATCTTAAGCGCAGGCTAATAAGAAGCCTACGCAATGACTGAACAGTGGTGGGTAGCGAAAGCAAGAGAGATGGAAAAGGCAGCGGCAATAGGTAACAGTAGACAGCTCTTCAGATTCGTTAAAGAAATCGGTATTAGGAACCCAACTGTCAGCGAAACTATCTCATAAAGATGGACATATCATTCATTCTCAATCCAGGAGATTGGATCGATGGGCAGAACACTTCAGGGGTCAGTTCAACTGGCCTTCAGCCACACTTCGGTTACCTACGATCCCCAATCGCCCTGAGTGGCAAATTGAGGTAAGTCCTCTAACTATCTACGTGGTTGAAAAAGCTATAGGAAATCTGAAGCAAGGGAGAGTAGCAGGCCCTGACAGGTTTACTCTTGAAATTTTTAAGGATGGTGGTTCAGTACTAGCAGCGAGATTGACTGAGGTCTTAGGTAGAATCTGGGAACTGGACGTCATTCCATCTGACTGGTCCCAATCACTGATTGTGCCAGTCTATAAGAAAAGACAAAAGGGATCAGTTTGACTAATCTCGTGTATAAAATATTAGCTTCAATAATACTTCGATGCCTAACTAAAGCTTGTGAAGAGCAGACTAGAAAAAACCAGGCTGGTTTTCGACCTGGACGTGGTTGCATACACCAGATATTCACTCTACGTCGGGTCCTAGAACATAGACATACATTCAGACGTCCCACAATAGTAGTATTTTTTGACCTTAAGGCGGCATTTGACTCCGTTGATCGTGAGGTTCTATGGCAGTGTTTGTCAGTGAAAGGAGTACCAAAGAAGTACATTAACCTCATAAAGGCTCTCCACTCGAACACAACTAGTCGAGTTAGAGCCTATGACGAACTGTCATCAGAATTTATTACCTCAAATGGTGTTCGTCAGGACTGTCCAATCTCCCCATTCTTGTTTAACCTTGTCGTTGACATGCTTTTAGAGATAACACTTTCATCATCTCAATCTCCAGGAGTTGAACTTTTACCGGGAGGCTCACTTGTTGACTTAGAATACGCCGACGACATAGTTTTATTTGGTGAAGTCGCTGACAAAATGCAGAGTCTTCTGACCACTATAGCAACTATGCAGGCATGTTCGGGATGCGATTCTCTCCCTCGAAGTGCAAAATGTTACTTCAGGATTGGGTTGCATCGACACGTGAACTAATGATAGGGAGTCAAGTAGTTGAGCGTGTTGACCGCTTCACTTATCTTGGGAGTCTCATCAGCCCTTGTGGTCTGGTGTGTGACGAAATCTCAGCACGGATACAGAAGGCTCGTCTAGCTTTCACCAACTTGTGTCATTTATGGCGTAGGCGAGATATCCGTCTAGCAACCAAAGGACCGGTTTACTGTGCAGCAGTTCGTTCCGTTCTACTTTATGGCAATGAAACATGGCCGATAAGAGTAGAGGATATTCATAAGCTACTAGTGTTCGATCATAAGTGTCTTCGACACATTGCTCGTATATCCTGGGATCACCAAGTAAGTAATGCAGTTGTGAGGAAACGGGTACTGGGTGAGGATGGCAAGTAGTGAAACTCCATCAGTTGAGATGGCTGGGACACGTGTTACGTAGGTTCAACCACTGACTGCCCCAACGTGCAATGTTTCATGGTGTAGGAGTAGATTGGAAGAAAGCTAGGGGCGGCCAGACCAAAACATGGCACAAATCCATGAAGTCGCTGACTAGTGGACTGGGCCGTGTTGGTAGGTGTAGACTACCTGGTTGGGATTCGCGAGATGGTAGCAACCGATGGTTAGAGACCTTGAATGACATGGCTCAAAATCGTTTGCAATGGCGAAGGTGCATCCACTCTATGTGTTCTGCCAAATTCTAATCTTCTGAATTCTTCATGTCCCTATCCTTTTTCTCTTTCCAAATTTATTTCACTGTATTATACTCCCTCAGTAACATCTTCAAACCCAAATCTTCACAATTACTCTATTTCTTTCACTGTAGGATTTGAATCGATAACTGCATCTCTGTGTTAATGTGGTATGGCAACTCGAACTAATGTACGTACGTACGAAGTTGTACATTGTGACTGACTGATGCTTATGCTAAATTCGCATAGAAGCGATAAAACTGTCGACAATCTATCCGTGGTGCATTGACTGTTCTATTGAAAATTTTTTGTATGTCGTTATTCTTTAACCTAGGATTCCTTGACCAGAACCATCAATTTTTACGTACTTGTGTGTAAGATGGACTTTCGCGGTCGCTTTTAGGATTTAGTGACAGAAGTTTGTTAACGTTTCTTCAAATGTCTGAATGACCGTTATAGTCATATTTAGTCGGGAACTAAGATGTTCGGACTATAAACAAGTTAGACTTTAGTGATTTATTTCAAAATGTTCAGCCTAATATCTATGATAAAGAATCGTTGAAGTACCTACAGGACCGCTAAATGGACTTGTAAAAATATTTTGTTGTAGGTTCATTGCGTGAAGAAAAATCAAACATAACAAATTTTTTTGTTAAGAGAGAAAATCAGTTGGTAATTTTATACTATATCTGTAGATTGAAAAAGCTACTTGATTTTATCTCAAAAAGACTACTGATAGGTACACAGGGAAT